GGTCATAAGGACCCCCCCCCCTTCCATGTGGATAGTTAAATCATTAAGTATTCACATTGGACATTTGTAATTAATAATAATAAAGTAAAGAAGAATGTATAGCAGTATATCAATCACACTACTATATCCAGCGCCGAAGAGGCCTTTCGTCTAATACCAGGGCTTTTAAGGTTTGTTGGGATACGACAGATACAGTACTGGTTAAGATGCTATTAATATTGCGTAATTTTTCATCAATTTATTTATGTCACAACATACCAACATTTGGGTAAAGATTTATGAACATTACATTATTCATTTTAACACCATAAACTAATAATTACTATTGCCTTGAAATAACCTGCAAATTATTCAGAAGAACTGGCGAACCAGCGAACTTCGTGTAATATTTGATTGATTCAGTGACTGTGCAGATGCAGCTTAATCATGGAGAGAGGCCTGGGCGCCCGCAGGAAAGGGCAAGACGGGGCATTTGCCCCCTTACATTTCACAAAAAATTGCATGTATTTTGATGTTTAACATCGTAGTTGAACTAAATATTTTTAGTAATATTTATTACAACTGTTGACTTACACTGTAAAAGCTGATTCCCTACATACAAGTTTTGCCCCCCTTTCTGTGGGCGCCCATAGAGAGAGGTTTAAGTTACTTGTAGTTTCGTTTTTCCTTTATTGGAGGCTTGAAATGAGCCCCCCCCCCCCACGTATGTAACTGGTGTTATAAAATATATTATTTACGACTGCTGAGTATATAACAAAACTCTAAAGTCCTGAATGTGTTCTTTTATCGAACGCCCTCACGTGGCTAGCAAGTGAAGGAGATAAGTCAGCTTCCCGAATCACGCTTGTGAGGCTTATCATAAACCTTGTCGTGGTTTTTGCCATTTGGAAATCTCCTTTGTTCTCGAGGCCATCTATCCTCTATAACAGTTCATTTATTGGATTTTTATGGAGTTCCAGCCCAAGTTTTATTTCGTTCTTCTCACCGAATGAATGTTGAGGCTGTCTTGTTGCTTCGCCGACATACTAGTATGTGAGAACATATAGACTGAATGTTGACAAGTGCGATCGAGCTGTCATCTCCAGCGGTGTCTGCAGGGCATTTACAACTGTTACAGAATGTATTCTTTGTTTGGATAACCTCTAACATAATCGCCTTAATATTTATTCAAAGATACATATACACACAGCGTAATACTTTTTTTTTACCCTTTTTTGAAGATACTATTAATACGATTTTTAATTTCGTGGATTTTGTTTCCATCTATAAAGACCTTATTCCTTCCAAAATGGACACGTTACGCTATACGTTGTGTATTATTATACTTACTAGTATTTTGTATCTTCACCTGTATTGAATCATTCTAGTTATAAATGCCCCAAAATCAGATTTTACTCACTAAAATTTATTGATCTGAGTTGATTTGAATCTGCACGATATGGATTTAAAAAAAAACTCCTGGCGACTGACGTTAATTTT